TTGAATAATTTTATAGAATAATTTATAAAAGAATCATATTTAATAGTTAATATCTAGTGGAATATGATTCATCGGAATTATAACTGAAAGCATATACTTACAAAAATATGTAGGTTATTAGAAATAGCGAAAAAAGAAATATATTTTATGAAATTACGATATTATATTTGTTATTAGGATTTTTTATTCGCATTAATTTCCAGAATAACATTTTAAAGATTTGTGCTTTATTGGGATGTCATGCACTTGGACTATATAAAATATAACTATATCGATATCCATATTAACAAAGTTTAAAAGCTAGTTTGTAACTGTAATTTATTAATTACCTTAACATACAGTCTTCAATTTTTACGGTATTATGTGTGTGCGTGCGTGTGCGTGGGTGTGTGTGTGTGTGTGTGTGTGTGGTTGTGTGTGTGCGTGTATATATATATATATATATATTGTTTACAGGACGCATGTATACCATTTGTATATATTTGTTAGTAAGATATATATACAGCAACAATAATTCATATTTTCACTTTTTCAAAATATTAATGACTGTTTAAAACTTTCAACTTCCTCCTTCTTCAATATTTTTTTTTGATACACAAGTTACATGTAATAAAAATTTATAAGAATCCCATGCGTGTATATTTGCAACATTCTATTCAATAACGTTTGTTCGTATTTCGTTACCTTTTCAAACATCCAAATCAGTTTGTCAATATTAACTAGTGAACCAGAGGACTTCTTAATATTGTCTCTACAGATCTGTATGTCTGCTATAGATCTGAAATGTGAACAGCTCAGTTATAAATCTGCTGTGGACAGACAATTACATTATTTCTATTAGAAGTAGCAACACATTTCATTTTTAAATTGATATCATACGTCAAACAAAATATCCCACCATGAGTTATTTTTCTAAAGTAATCGATGTGAATGAATTCGGTCCACGTATTAATTATAATAGCTTCTTTCACGAAAACATTTGCCACGTCTGCAAGAAAGTAAACAATGGATCTTTTATATCATGTAAGCGGTGCGATATGATTTCTTATTGCACTATTGAACACAGATTGATGCATCGTCCACAACATATGCAGATTTGTGAAAATATAAACCGATTTTTACGAGAGAATGAAATACGTCGAGACTGTGCTTTAAGTTTAACTAATTGGATCACGTTAAGACAACAATTTCTAAGCTCAATTAAAAAATGGATTCCACGTAAGCTAAAGCCGTATGAAGAACAGATGATTCTTTTTGCAAAATCATGCTCTATTTGTCATAGACAGATTAATTTGGAACATTGCATAACGTGTTATTCGGAATATTATTGCATTGACCATATACAGTTATTTCAAGATTTGCATGAGCGAAAATGCCAACAGTTTATATTATATATCAACACTAATATCGTGACTAGTGCAAACAAATTCACTATGTTAAAATTCACTAATCTTTCTACTCGAAGAATATTTTTTAATGACATGAATTCATTTATTGCAATATATGCGCGTCATTACGCACGATACAGCGATTTAGTTGCAATATATTTGAAATATTTCTACAGTGATTATGTATCAGGACCGCTAACATTATATTATGGAATGGAGAATGCTGGTTTACTAGAATCACTCATTTTTTCCGCACGTACAATACATGAATTTAAATGCGTTATTCACGTGGTAGCACTAAATTCCTTAGAAAAGGAGCATGTAAATGCTTGGGAAATATTTATACATCTCACGCGTTACATAAAGGATCTAACAATTATACTAATAGGACCAAATTTTGAACAGGATCATTATGACAAAGAACTTTGTTCTCAATGCAAGTTCAGATGTATAATGCTCCATATTGAAATTTATAGTACATTTTACCATATGTATGTGGCCGGTCCGTCCTTTAAAAAACCAAATATAATTGTAGAATTTCAAGCAGATTTTAGTAATGAGTGGACATGTTCGCGAAGCATATTTTTATCACGGATTAGACACTGTCCGTTAATTTTAACTACCACATCAAAAAAAAAAGCAGAACAGAACGTGTCTATTTTAAAACAAATTTTAAGTTCGCATTTAGAACCTCTCCATAATGCTAAAAATCCTTTTAAATCTTGGAGACCGTGGAGGGATTTGGAGACTGGTTCAGTATATTTTCGTAATCATTATGTAACTGTCTATCGTAACACACATGTTTTATGGAGACCTTTCTAAACGATTTGGAATATTTGTATATGATTTTAGCATTACGTTGATAACATTACTGTATATGATATAAAATATGTGTTATTTGTACAAACGAATTATAAATATTTTTAATAAAAGGCACTTTTTATTGTACTTGCGATGTTTTTATTTAATAGTCGCTGATATTAATGAACTGGTATTACTGTATATAATATAATATATGTGTTATTATTTACTTAGCTTGTATAAAAGTTTCCTTTAATGGTACCTATATAAAGTTTACTCAGAGAAGTTTTAATATAACATAATTCAATAATTAACATAATACAAATTCTTTTATATAGTATTGCGTCTTACTTAGAATGCGTATATAATTGGGTACAATTTGGACGAATATTCATCAATAAGTCATACATAAAACAAAAATAATTCAAACCCTTACTTTCTTAATGTTATTAATAATAGTTTCAAAACTTGCAACTTTTTCCACTTCGTTGTGCCTCTTTCTTGTTTTGCTGTTTACATGTGATAACTTATAAATATATCCTACGAGATTATTTGCGACATTCTATTTAGTGTAAGGGTTATCTATTTTCGTGGAGTATTAGATCTTGAAATACAATATCGTTTGTGTAATGATTGTGGCAGATAAGAAGATTTGTGCCACTTTAGTCTTGCCTTGTGATCGTTTGTTACAGATCTGAAAAATGAACAAGGACATTTGTTAAGCAGTTATGTTTCTATACTCAATTCAAATATTATCAATTACTTTACTCAATTCAAATGTTTGCATTTAAATTTATTATTCACATGGTAGCATTATATGCTATAAAAAAGGAATATTTAAAACTTACAAAATCCACCTACATTTTTTATGTCACGTAAAGGACTTAACAATTATATTAGTAGGACCAAATTTTGAGCAGGATCATTATGATACCGAGCTTTGTGCTAAATACAAATGAAAGAATTCAGTGATTTATGTTATAATTTATAATACATTTTACCATATTTATGTAGCCGGTTCGTCATTTAAACAACCATATGTAATTATGGAATTTCAAGCAGATTTTACGAATGAGTGGATATGATTGCGGAGCATAATTTTATCACGGATTAGACGCTGTATGTTGATTTTAACTAGCACATCGGCACAAAAACCATTGAAGTCAAAAGTGGACTAACGGATTCTAGTGTATTTTCAGTTTTTAAATAATTGCAAAATATTTAAATAATTTTTAATTTTTTAAATAATTGCACAATTTTTTATTTTAACAGTAAGACGTTTTCAATATATTCTTTGAAAAATTTTTCTTTCAGACTCTTCAGTCACTGTGGCTCTATTGGATTGATGATGTCAAAAACGAAGAAACCGTGTCTATAATTCCTACAAACCGCTAAATAAAAAGGTATATTATTAAAATGATGCTTGCAATTTGTTCTACTTACTTATAAAATGCTCCAGATACATTTTTTTTACAGAAATAATTAATATATAACCGATAAATAAATGTGAAAAATCGCCTCGTTTTGATTGAAAATCAACTGCGTAATTTCGTGCTAAATATAACCGAATATCTACTTTACGCATTAAGTATCACAATAAGCATAGTATCCAAAGCATTATCACACTTCTACAATTGTATCACATACGATGTGCACACACTCATGTACATACATTCAGGAATAAAAAGCAAAACAAAACATGTCTATCGTAAAATATGTTTTATGTTCATCTGTAGACATTATACTTGATATTGTTTTTATTTAAAGAATACTGGTAATAATAAATGAATACATTGGATGCATAGAAAATTGTTAAAATGACATTTTAAGGTAATTATAATATTATAGAAGTAACAGTTTAAATATATGGTTTTTGGAAATCCTACATAAATCTCAGTAATACAGTAACTTCAGTAAATATAAACAAAATATTCGAATAATATGTAAATAAGAATTGCTTTGATACGTGCCTTTGTTCAAAATTCTTGGTCTACCTTTTCGTATAAATAACTTACATAATTACTAAAGAAAGTTAACAATATTTAAGAAAGTTGAAATATTATAATATTTGCAATGTCGCGAAACCATTGCCTAATATTTTAATAACATATGTTAGATTTTCTTTGGATGCGGAAATATTGCAAAAATTAAGGCA